TATGTACTCCATGGTCTTACCACTAATTTCTTCAACGGCACTTGTTGCACTAACTTGATAGCCATCCATTGTATCCTCCAGCACCAAATCAAGTGGAATCCAAAGTGCAGAATGAGTTGCACCATGAAACAACGATGCAGAAGAAGAAAGATATTCAAAATCCATAACTTTACTGAACTTTTGCTGCGAAGTCGTTTTGTATTGTTTAGACAATACCATACAAGTATCTGAAGTCAAATGCCTAAGCATATCAGGAGTTAGAGTTTTTGATTTTTTCAATGCTGATGAATTAGCTCCCAGAAGCTGCAGCCGTTGAACAAAACTTCGCCAATGTGCAGGCCTGATAAAAAAAAGGAAACGAAAATGAAAAATTGTGAATCATATGCTAAATTGAATCGATAGGAAATTTCAGAATCTTATCAACTTCAACAAATGTGAAAGAAAAATATAAATATTACGAATTACAAATACATACAAATTTTTCCGAGCCAGGCAAAGAATCCTCGAAGAAGTCTTATCCTGCAAAAACCTCCCGATCAACTCAATAGCTATTAGCGTATTAGTATGACGTAATCTCTCCTTATGTTCAGTATCAATATAATTATTGTGTCCGTCCAATTCCATTTCTTGATATATCATTGCCCATTTACACTTTTTATCTGGAGTGAATTCTAACAATCCTTCATCACCCAACGATGCATCGAGCAACTGCCAGACAATCGAAAAAATAAACTCAACCACCAAATTGCCAGGCTCACTTTGTGATACGCCAAATATTTGGGAAAGACGAAGAACACCGTCTATAGATTTCATAACCCTGTCCAACACATAACCAAAAGAGTTAGTTAATAAGGAACCAAAGTAGCTTATACATAAGCACTTACGCGATAAGCCTTAAACTAGAAGCACTTAATTAAGCTGTTTATCCAAACAAGGCCAAAGTCATAGCCATGATCATCAATAAACAGATTTCATCAACCAATCGTGAATGTAGTAAGAACATCACAAAGATTACCAAAGAACTTAACAATTATTTATATTCATAAATCACATAAATTGAACCTCACTTTGGATAATCCGGTCTTTCAACCAGAGATTTAAGTTCAAAAGCATGCATTTTGGTGAGCTCTAAATACAATCTATAAGCTGCAGGTTGAACGTGTCTACAAGGAATAACCCTGCAAAAACAAAAACAAAAATAAATAAATAAAAACCTCGAATGAAATTGAAAAGTGAGAAAAGTGAAATTAACAAACCTGGCAGAAAGAAGAGCAAGAAGAAACATAGGAGGAACGATGTTATGAATCAATGCCATATCTAGAAACTTCCAGAGAATAGGAACATTGTTGTCCCAACAAATGTAAGAAACCAAAAACTCAGCGAGTTGTGAGGAGGGTAAAGATTCTCCAGATGAGTTCAAACTGGAATACATCTGAACAGCCCAAACAAAAGGATCACTACCCTTTCGTTGTGCCTCTTTTGTTACCTCTTCCATTGACTTTCGCATAGAGATATCCATGGTTGGATTGTGTTGTAAGGGATTCAAGTCCTATTAAGAATCACAACAACAACAAGAAGAACAAGAACAATAACATATGTGTTTGTTTTCGTAACTCTCTCACTCTTATGTTTTTGTCTCTCTGTTACCCATTTGCCCTTGTTTTGTGTGAATGAATGCAGGTTTTCTGTTATGGACTAGAATTTTGCATTTTAAGTCAAACTTTATGAGGGTAATTTTGGAATTTTATTTTCGCTATCCGTTTTTTTTTAGGATCCTATCCATTTTCATACAAAAAGTCATCAATTAAATTATTATAAATAGTTTAGTAATATTTTATTAAAGTTATTCAATTAAAAGTTTTGTTTATGAGAACCCTTTTTGAAAATTTTTAATTCAAAAATATTTTCAAAAGAAAATAAACATTTCAATTTCAATGAATTGATTACACAAACTTTTATAAAATTTAACTTGACTCTTTTAATAATTATTATTATTTTATTTTTTATAATAAATATATTTTGATAAAAAAAATTGTTTTAATGAATGTTATATTACTTTTTTATTTTTTTATTATTATTTTCAATATATTGGATTCTCTAACTAATATATTGAATACTATTTTTTAAACTTTTTTTTTTGTATTTATGATGGTCAAAAATAAGTTACTAATTAATAATAAAGTGTTTTGTCTTTTAATAAGTTTATTGCATTTTATAAATCTTTAATGATTTAAGGGATGTAATTGACCGATAATATACAAATATTATATAAATATATTAAAAATTGACTGATTTAAGGGATGAATTAAATTCTTCTCATTATTATAAATAAAAAATAAAAAATAATAACTTTTTGAGTAATATATATAATATTAATTAAAAGTATATTTAAAAAATAACTAAAATTACATTGAAAATTAGAAATTATGATAGTTTTTTTATAAATATTATAATATCAAGGAATGATATTATTTTTAATCCTTTTTTTTTTTTTTTGCATAGAATGAAAATAAAGAGGATCAAAACAATAGATTAGAATACATGAATTATAGTCTTAAAAAAATCTAAACAACCCTTTTTTTTCTGTTAATTAGAATGGCCTGGTTAAAAAAAGAAACAAAATAAAGATATCAACTTTTTGTAATCAGAAATGTTAAGAAATCCTCAGCAATTAAGAAAGGTATTTAACAAATAAAAAGTAGTGACAATAATAGTCTACCAAAAATAAAGTACATGTTATAATTATATATTTATGCATGAGTCAAAATATTTTTTATATATTCATATAGATTTTGGTATTTGAATGCTAAAGAAAGAAAGATAAAAAAAATGGACAAATTATTAAATGATAAATTAATTAAAGTTTTTTTTTTGTTATAAAGATCAAAATGACTCTTTTAACTATTGTAAAGAATAAACAATCATATTTTAATTATTGTTAAGAAATAAATTGTTTATTCTTTTATGGATTAAAAGTTATATTAATTATTTTGAAAATTGTAAATTAAATTTTATTTATTTTTTAATTATTGTAAAGACCAAATAATCATTTTTTAATACAATTAAAAAACAAATTGCATATTTTTTTATTGAGACTCATTTTGAACTAAGTTTTTTTTTTATGAATTAAAAGGTATATTTTTTTTTACAAGATGTGAATTACATTTTATAATTTTTTACATATTAAATCATTTTTTTGTATTAATTTTCCATCTCGAAAAATGAAGCTCTGTTAATCCAGAGTTTGGTCAAAATATTAGTAATATATTGGCGATAGTTATTGTTTTTGAATTTTAAATATAAATCTTTTATTATAAAAAAATTATGTATGGTTTGATTTAAATAACTTAATTTTTAAGAATTAACATAGTTGTTTAGTTCAAAAATATTGAAAAAGAAGATTTTTAAAATAAATATTAATGTAACATATAAACAAAATTGTAATAAGCACATCGTATAAATATGATTTTTTATTATTTTCCATTCCTCGGAAAATGAATATAAAATTCGGTCAAAATATTAGAAATATTTGGTTGATAATCATTTTATTTAAATTCATTCAAACAAATAAAATTTAATAATAACGTGATTTGAATCACTTAACCTTTAAGAATTCAAATAAATATCTATTTTAAAAAATATTCAAAAATAATTTTTTTAGAATAAATATTTGTGTAAAATATAAACAAAAATGTAAATAATGCATCATATACCAGTCCTATGTAAATGTCTTTTTCAATATGAACATTCTAAGCTAATCTAGTAAGTAGAAAAAACCAACAATAAAAATTAAAAATAAAATAAAATAAAAAACTCTTAACATAAAATATAGAATAAATTGTCTATGTAAGAGTCAAATAATTTGTATATATTTATATAGATTTAGGTTGTTTGAATGCAAGATGACAAATTATTAATGATACATTAATTAAATTATATTTGTTATATAGATCAAAATGTCTCTTTTAATTATTGTTAAGATCAAACAATTTTTTTAAATTATTTTTAAGAAATAAATTGTGTATTTTTTTTTTATCGAGACTCATTTTGAACTAAGTTTCTTTTTCTATGGATTAGAAGTTATATTTATTTTTACGAATTCTAATTCATATCTTATAGTTATTTTAATATGTTAAAAAAATTAATTTTAATTTTTTATTTCTCGAAAAATGAAACTCTATCAATCTAGAATTTGGACAAACTAATAAAAATATTTGATTAATAATCATTTTATTTAAATTTTAAATTTAAATTTATTCAAACAAATAAAATTTATTAATAGTTTGATTTGAATCATTTAACCTTTAAGAATTAAAATAAATATTTACATTAAAAATATTCATAAAGACTTTTTCTAGAACAAATATTTATGTAAAATATAAACCAAAACGTAAATAATGCATCCTATACCATCCTAAGTAAATGTCTTTTTCAATATGATCAATATAAGCTATTTAGAAAGTAAATATTAAAAAACAAATCTACAAAATTTAAAAAAAAAATTCTTAACATATTAAAATAAAAGTGACAATAATCTACCAAAAATAAAATATATGATAGTATAGTTATATATTTATGTATGAGTCAAATAATTTTTAAATATTTATATAGATTTTGTTAGTTTGAATGCAAGATAACAAATTATTAATGACAAATTGTTTTTGTTATATAGATCAGAATATCTCTTTTGATTATTGTTAAGATCAAAAAAAAAAATTTAATTGTTAAGAAATAAATTTTTGTCGGAGGTTATCATAGAAAGAATGTATCTTCTATGTCTATGGTTCAAATGGACATTCAAAAAGTGTACGATACAGTTGAATTGAACACATTATGGTGGAATTTAGATTCCCTTAAAAATTTATCATCTGGATTTTTGCATGTCTGACAACTGTATCCTACAGGTTCTCTATTAATGGTGCTCCTTCTATTATCCTTCAAGCTAGAAGGGGTCTTAGACAAGGAGATCACCCCCCCCCCCCCCCCTCTTTGTTCTCATTATGGAATATCTTCATAGAGTGCTTCAAGGGCTAGTCAAGAATCTGAATTTCAAATTTCATCCTAAATGCGATCGCTTGAAAATTATTAACTTATGTTTTGCTGATGATATTTTGTTGTTTGCGAGAGAGGATCATGAATCTATGAGATTGATCATAGATAAAATGAGAGAGTTCTCTACAACCACGAGTTTGACCATTAGAATACCCAAGAGAAAAATCTATTTTGGAGGGGTTGATGAGGAGTCCAAGAAGATTATCCAACAACCAATCGGTTTTGCAGTAGGTACATTGCTAGTAAAGTATCTTGGAGCTGCCTTGGCTAGAGAAAAAAAATGATTGTGACTGGCTGCCAACCACTAATTGAAAAGATGCTAGTGCGGCTTAAGCATTGGACTACCAAACTATTATCTTATGCTGGCAGGCTTCAGCTTGTGAAAAGTGTCATCTCTCGATTACTAACTATTGGATGCTATTTTTTTCCACTGCCTAAAAGGATCGTCTCCCACATTAATAGCATGTGCAGAAGTTTCCTTTGGTCTGGTAAGGATTGCATTACTCGTAAAGCTCATATTCTGTATTAGTGATCCAATATCTGCATGTGGCCTTAATTTAATCTATCTTAGGGGGTGGAACAAGGCAACCATTAGGAAATTATTGTGGAATGTGTATGCTATGAAGGACAGACTTTGGATTAATTAGATTCATATGTATTATATGAAAAAAAAAGAGGATGTTGCAACGCTTATTCCCAAAGTGCATTACTCATGGATTGTTAAAGTTATGTTTAAACATAGAGATGTCATCACGAATTATGCAGCTTAGAATGCGTTTAAGGTGACTGGTAGGTATGAAACCAAGAAAGTGTACCCGATGTTTAGAGGGGTCAAACCAAAAGTGAGCTGGAGAAATCTTTTTCTACGGTAACCTTGTTAGACCAAGAGTCGCGTTCACTCTTTGGATGGCTTGTCAAGATAGGCTACCCACGAAGGATCGGTTACTCAAGTTTGGTACGATCACTAACGGTAAATGTGTGTAATGTGGGCTACCAGAAAGTTGTGATCATCTTTTCTTTGTGTGAGGTGGCCAAAAAAACCTGGACCGAAGTTCTAATTTGGTTTAATATCTCTCAGAGTCCAAGAGGTTGGGGTACAGAACTTAATATAATTAGCAAACTAACTAGTGACAAAGGTTGCATGAAGAAACTATTAAAAATCGCCTTTACAGAAACCGTGTATGCTATTTGAATTGTTAGGAACCTGATCATCATCCAGAACAAGAAAAAATATTACCTCAAAAGCAAAGACATCATTAAGAGAGTCCTTTGTAAAGTTGAGATTAGTGATAAACTAGCTATGTTTTGTAATAGAGATTGATTTGATTGTTTTAATTTTTTCTTGGTCTTTGTAGTCGGATGGATGCCTAGATCCTCAAATCGACTTTGTACTTGTTTTGGAAATATAATTCTTTCATTATTCTAAAAAAAATTGTGCATTTTTGTTTATTGAGACTCATTTTGAACTAAGTTTTTTTTTATTGAATGGAAGTTATATTTAATTTTAAATTTTCTAATTCACATCTTACAATTTTTTAACATATTAAATATATTTTTATTCCTCTGAAAATGAAACTCTATCAATCTAGAACTTGGTAAAAATATTAGAATTATTTGGTTAATAATTATTTTATTTAAAATTTTAATTTAAATCCATTCAAACAAATAAAAGAAAAGGCTGGAGGGTGTGCCTTATCCGTAGTGTTGTGGCGGAGACAGTGTACGAAATATGGAAGCATAGAAACAAGAAAGTCTTTGAAGATAACGTGAATACCATAGAGATTAGGGACTTAGTGATCTCAACTCTTGCTAATAGAGGATGGGTCAATACTAGAGTTAGAAAGAGCATAGATAAACTTCTTATAGATTAGATTAGTCGGTTGGTTTTGTTGGTTGGGTGGGTGTGCTTTAGGCCACCTTGTAAATCTTTTTTCCTTTGGTTTTAATAAAGTAATCTTTATTTCAAAAAAAAAACAAACAAATAAAATTCATTAATAATTTGATTTTAGTCACTTAACTTTTAAGAATTAAAATAATATTTACTTTTCTTTTTAAGAAAATATGATCAAAATTCAAAGGGAAAAGATTACATAACAATCAATCTAGAAGAAGACACTCCAATACAACCCACTAACAAAAGAAGAAAATTTTGAGCACAAACTTGCTCATGAAACATCAAATTAGGACCTACATTACACCTCATGGTGGCAAGTTCATCTGCACAATTATTGAACTCACGATAAATATGACAAACTCGCATCTCCCAATCTAGTTTTAGCAACTTCTGAGTTTGTTGTATCAACCGCACAGAGATATAAGCGGTTAGTCTCTAAGACAAATAAATATTTTGTACAGGCTTATCTTGAATCAAAGTGGTTTTTTAATTACTTTCCTCCTAACTGAACCGATTATATTGGGTTGACAAAGAACCAAACTGAGAATTCATATTGGGTTGATCTCGAACCAACTGAACTTTTATATTGGGGTGAGCTCAAGAACCGAACTGATATTTTATATTAGGTTGATCTCGTGTCGACTAAGCTTTTTATTGAGTTGAACTCAAGAACCAAACCAAGATTTTATACCAGACTGATCTCGAACCGATTAAGCTTTTATATTGGGTTGAGCTCAAGAACTGATATGAATATTTTTCACTAGTTATCTTTAAGAAGCTAGAAGGATGGCCTTTTCTCAAATGGTGCAGCTCAGGAACCAAACAAAAACTAACATTAATCCCCACACAAAAACTTTTTATATGTTTGTCTTAAACCTAAACAATTTCTTCATATGGAAGAATAATTCAATCAAGAGGAAAAATAAATCTTGATGAAGTTACAATGTATTGCTTCAAGAAAAACTTCTTCACTAAACACAAGAACTTTTCTCAAAACATTATGGTTAAAAATATGCGAGAGAATAAAAAATATTTTACAGAGAGATAAAGAGACTGTAATGTGAGATATCTCACATTTTTTCGATGAAAAGAAATCAAGGGGGAGACCTATATTTACAGGTCAAAGGATGGATAAAAAAAGGTAACGATTTGTGGGCAAATTAACTCACCTAATTGATTAGGCCCTAAGGCTAATTGATTAGATACCACAAATAATTTATTGTTTGATACTAATTTAGAAGGTTTTGATAGACACTTGTAACCTTTCATTAAGACACTATCATAATCGATTATAGACTCATTTTTCACTTATTTAATCTATTAGGCACTTGGTCTTATCATAGGCAATTCAAAAACTTCCCATAATCAATCTAATAGTTATGAAATCATTTGGCTATGCTCCAACAACAATCTAGATGATTTTATTTGAAAAACAGAGACTTCAAGAAATGATTTTCTATAGGTGTGTGGGTGTGGGGGAGGGTGTGTGTCGGTGTGGGGGTGTGTGAGTGTGTGTGTGTGTGTGTGTGTGTATGTGCGTATGCATATGCGTATGTGTGTGTGTGTGTGTGTGTGTGTGCACGTGCGTGTGTATGTACGGTGCGTGTGTGTGTGGCATGAGTGTGTGCGCGCGTGTGTGCATATGTGTGTGTGTGTGTGTGTGTGTGTGTGTGTGTGTGGCAAGAAACATAAGAAAGGGGATTTGAATTGGGTTTCCAAGGTTAAAACTTTTTAGCATCCAATCACTCAAAGTAGAACCATTAGTAAAAATAAATGAACACAAATATTTTTATACTGGTTCACTATTAACGAAGCTAATCCACTCCACCCGCCAAGGTGATTTTGCCTTCTCAATAAGGACTTAATCCTAGGCATGGCAAAAAAACCCAGACCCGTCGGGGCCGGCCCGGACCCGCCCCGAAATTTGCGGGGAAAACCCGGTTTGAGTGGGTACGGGTGCGGGTGCGGGGAAAGTCCGATTTTTAATTACGGGTGCGGGTAGACACTAAGACCCGCCCGCACCCGGCCCGGCCCGGCCCCCGAATAATTTATTTTAATTTAATTCTCTTATTTTACTTATTTTAATATTTATTTATTAATTATATTTTTAATTAAATTATTAATACATTTATTGCAATTACAATAAATAAATTAATCAAGTTAATATTCATTTACTAATTAAATTTTTAATTAAATAAATAATTAATTTATTAAAATAATCAATTTTTTAATTAAGTTATTAATTTTTATTGTAATTAAAAAAAAAAATTTCCGGGTGGGGGCGGGGCGGGTGCGGCTGCACCCGTTCTCTACTGGGGGCGGGTCTGGGTGGTAAATTTTTACCCCCGGTCGGGTTTGGAGGCGGGGGCGGGTGTGTTACATGAAAGCGGGTGCGGGTGCGGCTATATTAAAACCCGCCCCCGACCCGTCCCGTTGCCATCCCTACTTAATCCACTATAATCGACCTGATTACAGACATAAAAAGACCACCCATCTTTGTCTTCTCGAGAATCCTAACTAACAACCTAGTCTCTCAAGGAAAACAATCTCAAACAAAGAGATATAAGAGTTTGTATTTACAAAGATGCTTCAAAAAGCAGATTACACAAAGTTTAAGTACAAGGAAATAATCACACAACAATGAACAAAATCTTTATGTATGTTTTCTATCTATATTCACAATAATAGTATATTCAAGAAAAGCGTTGTGAGATAATGTAGTGTAGCGTGAATTAACAGCCTCATTCATTCTCTTAAGTCTCTTTTATATAGGCATGAAAAGATTTGTTGGAGGGTAGAATGGATATCTTCACAAATGAGTTGTCACCTTGCATAAGGTCTGCCATGGTGGGAGACAAAATAGTACGTAGTACAGTCCTTACTCCATGAAATCAAAGTAGTGGGAGGAATATATGCTCTTGCACTGTGTACTATTTTTCTCATGTAAAACCTTTTGATCTTATCTTCTAATCTTCATAGGCTTCCGAGAAAATGTTGTTGAAGCATGTTTAGAAAGATAAAGAGAGTGATTAAAAGAAGCTTTTGAACCTTGTCTTCAGAGTCTTGATACAATTCCTCAGAACCTGGTCTTCACGGTCTTCAAAGCTTGTTCTTCAGAATCTTGAGAGCTTGGGAAACTTTTAGAAGCTCTTCTATCAGCATCACAGTTAAAAGCTTTAGCATAAACATTTATGAGAACCGTTACCTAAGAGCTTTTTAGAATTTGATGTAATATGTGAAGCACACTTTTCTATCTCTTCAGAGTTAGAGTGTGTTGAGTCCAGAATCTGATGACGTCTCACACCAGTTCTTCAAAGTCAAAACCTATTAGCAAAATCTACACACTAGACAAAACCATTATGGTACAAAAAAATTCTCTAAGACACAATG